CACACACACACACACACACACACACACACACACACACACACACACACTTTCCAAACATAGCTCTTAAAGTATTACCATTTGCCTTAGAATGTAAGACAAAGTTTTCTGCTCAGTGGCTTTTCCCCAGCTAAGTCCCAGGCTTGGGATGAGAAGAAACCCACTCAAGCATTGTGACAGGCAAAACTGGCACAGTAGTCACGTCTGGAGGGGGTTCAGCAAAGCTTGATCACAGGTTAGATCCTGCCCTTTGGGTTGATTTTAGCTTCAGGATCAGGTTGCAGGGGGTGGGGTGGGGGATTTTTTTGTGCGGCTCATATATTGGGCAAAGCCGCTGTGTAGTCCTCAGGGAGGAGTGTCAACCTCCATAGGGGAACTCTTATCCCAGTGCAGTCACTGGCATCAGCCCCTAACACCACCCATCTTTGACAGGTGGTAAAGCGTCTCCCAAAAACCAGATCTGGGAAAGTGATGAGGAGGCTGCTGAGAAAGATCATCACCAGTAGGGGGCAGGATCTAGGGGACACCACTACCCTGGAGGACCCCAGTGTCATCACGGAAATCTTGAGTGCCTTCCAAAAGCATGAAGAGCAGCGGGCTGCCATCAAGTGACAGGTGTGCTTCTATCTGTGTGCTCGGACAAGGCCACACAAGACCCCTGGCAGTCCTCAGGAAAAGGAGCTTCAAAAGTGGTTTGTTTTCTCTGAGCACATGACCCCTCTATGATCCCTCTAATCCCCTATGCGAGGCTGAAGCCTCTCTTTCTTCCTCCTGGGGCCCAGAGGGTCGCCTCTGAAGGGGGAGGCCTTTCTCCCACATCTGGTTTCCAGAATTAAGACATAATTGCCAGAGGTCTGTTCACCACTTAGCTCCAAAGCTATCATGCTTTCTCCAGGTGTGTCTGGATACAAAACACAGATATTTTAGTTTTTACACATTTCTATTTAGAGAATAACAGAACACTCAAGTGTGATGTGAACATATAGGCACACGCAACACACACACACACACACACACACACACACACACACACACACACACAGAGTTAGGAAAATCTCCCTTCTTGCCTCTGTAGGGAAGCACAGTAACAAAATGTGCTAACTTTAGTGTGCTTGAAGTCCCCAGCAGGAAGTCTGTGCTTCTGACACACACCTGTCCTGATGCTGCTCATCTGAGTGGCCACATCCACTTCCTATGTCTACTTCATGTTTGGTTCACTTGGTTTATGTTATGATAGAACAAACTCAACAATTCTTACATTTTACATGCTAAGGGTTACACTCAGGGCCTCCTAAACACTAGGCAAATGCTCTACCTCTGAGCTACAAAGCAGCGCCTCTAACTCCCAAGAGACGGGGTGAATGTCCTTCCCTTTACTTGTGAAATCATTTGGGTTTGTTTCTCTAAGCTGTGATCTGGAAAGAACTTCTTTTCCCAAGGTACCTCATAGGAGGACGTCGCCATTGCTTCAACTATGTGAGGTTGTTCATGGGAGCCAGTCAAAATCAGATGTCTTATTAAGGCTCTGGTCCCACCTGAACTGAGCTCCTGAAGACTCTGCCTGCCTTTTCTTTTGTGATTGGGGCAGCAAGAACCACTGTGGTCCATACAAGCTCTTGGTGCTCCAAGCAAGCTCTCTCTCAATGTGCCTTAAGTCCTCTGGACATTGGTGGGTGATACAATTGTGAAGTCGTGAAAAGCTTATTTTGTAGCTAGGCATGGCTAAGCATGGGAGAGCTAAGAGTGTGGCAACTCTTTTAGCAGGGCTCTGGGGGCAGAGGAAGACTGTTCTGTCTGGTTCACAGAACTTAGCTATATGTTTCAGGGGTATCTACTGTGCATTTAATCTGTGCTGACTTCTTGGATAATAGGGTAAAAATGCTGACACTTCCAGAAGGTGGAATGGCTGTAGTATTCACAAATAATAATAGTCCTTTGTTAGAAGCAGCAGCAAAGAGCCATGCAATGGACTTGACTGACCATAGTTACTATGCCCTTTAGGAAGTGGCCTCGGTTTCCATGTTGCTGATACAAGCTCTCAGAATGATTTAGAAAAATATTCAAATAAAGCTTTATTTTGTTTACTGTCTTTTAATGGGGATATATTTGGTTGATGTTCTATTTCGTTTCTTCCTGGTGTTAAATATTGAACCTAGGGCTTTCTGAATGTTAGGTTAGCACTCATCTTAGACCTCCATGCTCCCCAGCCCCCTGCCCGCATAATCCTAAGGAAAAATAAAAAGGGGTCTATTCACTCAAAAGATAGCACACACACACAAAAGTGTTGGTGCATGTGTTCACGTGTATGTGTGTGGAGGTGCATTTGTATATACTGATGTGTGTGTGTTGTGCTTAGAGGCCAGAAGACAACCTCATAACACCATCTACCTTTTTTTTTTTTTTTTTTTGAGACAAGGTCTCTCACTGGGCCTAGGATTCACCAAGTCTGGCTGGCCAGTGAGCCCAGAGATCCTGTCTCTGTCTCCCCAGTGCTGGGGTTATAATCCAACACCTGCCTATTCTATTCATGCCTGCCCTATGGTCCATGGGTTCTGGGCTAGAACTCAGGTCTCATGCTTGCAAGGTAAACACTTTAGCAAGTCAAGCTATTATCTCACTGCTTCTGGAAAAGCCATTATTTCTGCAGGAAAACCACTTCCTGACCTTGTTAAGTGGCCAACACTGGCTGCAGGGGTGAGGTATGGTACTCATTTCCCAGTACCACAGGACCCAGCCTAAGAAACAAGCTCGGGCATGACCATATGATACTGTCAGGGACACTGGGAAATAGAAACAACACCATGCAAGTGAACTATTGTCTACTACTTGCTTGACAGGAAAAGATGTGGCCTATCAGACCTAGGGATGAGGGAAGGCCTTAGAAAGCTACCTGCCCATTTTCTTCTGGGACTTCCCTTCATGTTTGGGTTTTGTATGTTTGGTTTTCTGTTTTTTGTTTTGGCCTCATTGAAATTTCTGACAATGACTCAAGTTCTTGGTACTACAACGCAGAGAGAAGAGCAGATACCTGGTAGAGGTGGGTAAGTCGGTAAGGTTCGGCTGCCAAGCCTAATCATTTGAGTTCAATCTCCAGGACCCATATGGTGGAAGGAGAGAACAGACGCCTGCAGGGTGTCCTCTGACCTCAATATGTAGCTGCACACACATATAAAAATGGACAAATAAATGTCAAAAATTGTAGGGCAGTCACTTAAGCCTTGACTGTCACTCTTACATGAAAGGTAATTACAGGAAATGCTGGGGAACTTCCATTTGGTATGCCCACAGAAGCTGAACTCCTGATGAAAAAGAGGTCCATGGTTTCCTGTAATTCCTCCCTTGAATATTTGATTGGCTACAATACACAGAGAGGTTAGCTTGAGGTGTCTGAGTGTGCTGAGAGCTAATGTTCTATACTGTGTCACTGCCCTCATCATATCCAGCAGGGAGCAATGTCAGAAACTCAGATTTACCAAGCTCTGTGTGCTAGGCAGGCCCTGTGGCAGGGTTCATACCCATCACCCTTGGTACATGATATTCTTCCTAGAGAAGCTAGGTTGAGTAGAGTGCCTGAACACAGTCTGAGTCCATGAACCCAAGGCTTAATCACATATATGGTCCTTACTTAGGGAGCTTTTGGGTGACACTTAACAGATTTATATATACATATATAATTATATGTATATAATATATAAATATACAAAATATATAGTTATATGTACATATACATATACACAAGTTTTTTTGAGACAGTGTTTCTCTGTGTAGCCTTGACTGTCCTGGGACTAGCTCTGTAGACCAAGCTGGCCTGGAGCTCAGAGATCCACCTGCCTCTGCCTCCCAGGCGCTAGGATTAAAGGTGAGTTCCACTACACATGGCAACAGCTCGAGTTTTAAAGGCATCTTACTGTGAACTTTGAGGTACTCTCTGAATGGGTTATTTTTAATAGAAAAGTAGCCTTGATCTAATCCAAGAGGAACATATTTTAGCTCTCGACCCACTGAGTGTTTTCTTGGTCTAGACTGAGGGGTTCTCTTCTATTTCTGGACTAAGAGTCTTGAAATAGACTAAGAGGCCACCTTAGAGATCTAGGCCATGAGGGTGCCTTCCTCAAGGTGGCATTTTTTTTTAATTGTGGAAACTGTTCCAAGTGAGCTTCAGCTAACTCTAATCTGATTTATATAATTTCTCCTGTCATTATGTTAAAAAAAATTCTTAGATAATGGGATTAAACCAATTATATATAATATTCCTGAGTCTGTTGATGCTTTCTTGCTTTTCTTCTTACCTTTCTCTTTTGTGCTGGGGTTGGAGCCTGGGGCCCCAGGTACGCTAAGCCTCCATTGCTGAGTGACATCCTAGGCCCCTGAGCAATTCGTTTTTAACTATGGCATCAAACATAGATAGAAACAAGTTTTGCTATGAACCAAAAGTCTGTCAATCCACACCATTCTCTTGTTGAAATTCTACAGTTAAAATGATGCTATTAGGAGGAAGGGCCTTTTGAAGTTCATGAGGTCAGGAGGGTGACACCTTCATCAGGGTATAGTGCCTTCATAAAAAGATGTGGAAGTACCCACATCTTTGCAGGACACAGCAGATAAACTGATACATGCAAGTCAGAAAGTAAGTTCCCAAATCTTGGCACCTTCTTGGTCTTACTTTTCCAGTCTCCGAAACTGTTAGAAACAAATTGTCATTTGAGCTACCCAGTCTACAGCATTCTGCTATAGCAGCCCAAGCTTAGACAACATTTCTACTTCATATCATGCTGAGAAAAGGGGGGGCGGGTAGGAGATGGCTTCTGGACTGTCAAAATTCCGAGGATAAGCTGCCTCCCTCTCAATAGAAAAGTCCTACAAAACAAAGGCATTATGAAAGCTCGCAGACAAGCTGCATGGACACTTGGATGGCTGCTTACATTCTGAGTGTCAGCAACAGGGCCCCTTGGTCACCACGGAGATAACCAACACAGGCTCTGAATTTCTGGGCACGGTTCCACCTTCCTCTAGGACCCATGATTCCTTGTCTGTTTTTATTTGGTATTGATGCTCTTCATTTGCTCTTCTACAGAGGAGCTGCCACAGACCCAGAGGCCTGGCTTCTAGCCTCTCCCATCCAGCAGAGGCACCTGGCTCTTCTGAAGTTTCTATTGGCATTGTGATTTCTTTAACCCTTGGTTGTTCAGAAGGCTATTCTGGTGGTTTGAATGAGGATATCCTCCATAAGCTTATGTATTTGAACACTTGGCCTCAGCTGGTAATACTGTTTAGGGAAGTTGGTACAGCTTTGACAGAGGGAGTGCATTACTTGAGGCTAGGTTTGAGATTTCATAGTCTCACCCCATTCTAAGATTGCTGTGTATTTGAGTTTGAATATGTGGATCTCTCAATTTCCTGATCCTGTTGCTCATGTCTTCTTGCTTCCATGCCTTCCTGCTATGATAGACTTAGTCCTCTGGAGTCTTATGTCCAAAATAAGACGTCACTGCCCGCCCCACCAAGTCATTTCTGGTCATGGTATTTTCTCACAGCAATAGAAAAGTAACTAATACAGCTATCCTAAGTGGAGGTGGGGGGGGGGGACAATCAACAACCTTTTCTCCTTTCTTTTGGCTTTTTGAGACTGGCTTTCAGTGTAGTCCAGGCTGGCTGGAACTTGCTAAGTAAGTAGCTCAGGGTGACTGCAGATTCCTGTTCATTCTGCCTCAGCTTCCCAAGTCCTGGGAGATAGGTGTGATCACAGGGGAAGAGAATCTTTTAAATTCTTAAATGTATTTTTCAGGTTTTTATTTTTGTTTTACTTGAGACAAGCTCTTGTAGTACAGGTTGTCCTGGAACCCATGACCCTCATACCTCTGCCTCAGACATGTGTAACTATATCTATCTTCCATCTTTTGTCATGGTGGTTTAGCTATTTATACGTTGTTCTGACAACATACCATTAGGGTTTCAGTCCCCTGAAGTTTGTGGAGACTTCTTTCATGCCTGCTCAGTGACAACCATCTCTTCTTACCTAACCTCCCTTTCTGTGTGTGTGTTTCACAAGGTCTGATGTAGCCCACACTGGGAGTGATTTTACCATGTAAAAAGACCTTGAACTTCTTCTGATCCTTCTACTTCCATCTCCCATGCGTTTGGATTACACGCATGTGTTACTGTGTTGGGGATTACAGGCATACAACAGCATGTCTAATCTCTGCCACCATTTTTGTTTGTTTGTTTGTTTTTTGTTTTTTGAGACAGGGTTTCCCTGTTGTAGCCTTGGCTGTCCTGGACTCACTTTGTGGACCAGGTTTGTCTTAAACTCAAAACTCACAGAAATACACCTGCCTCTGCCACCTAGCTTCTACCAACATTTTTTAAAATAACAATCACAACCTAGATGAAAAGGAAGTGTATTCTGTAAGCACTGCCTCAGACTTGTGTAACTATGTCTGACAATCTTCCATCTTTTGCCAGGGTGGGTTTAGCTATTTGTACGTTGCTCTGACAGTGTACTATTTTCAGATTGTCTGTACACATCTAGCAGGTGAGCTCTGTCAATCATATTGCCTGTGTTTTCTTCAATTTGAAGTTTCTGAGTGAAACATGGTAAAGACTTACTGCGGGTGTGGGTTTGTCTGTTTGTATGTGTAACTTTTAAACTATTATTGCATACGTATATATAGGTGGTCCAAGAAGAGCTACAGATAAGGTTAGCACTATTTTTTTTATTTTAATCTGGAACGAAATATCATGTAGCTGCTTCCTCATCATTCGTAAAGTAATTCAGCAATTTGTCTCGAAAAGGCATCAGTGGGAGTTTGTAAAAATTAATCTTGATTTGTAATTCCTCACAACTACCCAAGAATAGGAGGTAAAAGTTAGGCCCTGGCAAGGAATGGTGTTTCAGGTCTCAAGTACCTAGGGGCCCAGGAAGTTAGACGGGTGTGAAACAGTAGAACATCACAATGGAGGCTGGGACCAGGCTGGGAAAGGAGGACGCGGTATTTGTGAGCTAGGCAGTCACACAGGTGATAGTGCCTTCTACTTCAGGAGTATAAAACCTTGAAATTACCAACATCCTCGAGTCTCCAGCATATTTAAAAGCAAAATCCT